TTGAAAAACGTAATGAATTTATTTTATTCAAACTTGTAATTAAGGCATTCGACGACGCTAATGAATTATTTTAACTATGATTTTGCCATTGTTATTTAATTTATCAATTGCAAAAATGACTGAGGTGGTGGTGATTTCCATTAATACTAGACATAACTGGTTAATTACTTTACCATCTGAGTCAGCGGTGGCCATGATACTTGTAAAGGGCCCAAACATTGGTTGTTTGTGTTGATGGACCTTTGAATCAATAACATATCGCACTACTGTTACAATAGTGTTATAACACAAAATATGTGGAATTCAAAATTATACCACAGTTGAACCTAAAACTTGATTCTCTACACGTCAATAAAACCGTCGTTAGAATATTGTAAAAAAACAACTAAAAGATATCTACTTAACTCAAAATGAGACACGCTTTGAGCTAGTTCTGGCCAAAATAGTCCTTATTCAAAAACGTTACATTTTTCCTATTTTATTTTTAAATATGTATATTTGGCAAGCAGGAAATAACTTATACATAAATTTACACAGATGTTTCAAGGGAAATGAGTAATTCGTTTTTCGTCGATTCTGAGAAAATACACTTTTTGAGTTAATACACTATTGTATTAACAGTGCGTTAAATGCAATCATTATTCAATTTCGCAATAAGTTTGTTCTTAAAAAAAGTATAGACTTGTTTAAGTATCGGGCCAGTTAGTAAAAGCTGCGATGAAAACATTAACTAATTGCTCACAAAAATTGGTTACATTTTGTCACTATTTCAAAAGTCCAAATTTTCAATTGGGTATGACAAAACTGAAATAACGCTCGTGACAAGTTCAAACATATTGGCAAGAGTCTAATAGGGTGAGACCAGACTAAAGAACAATAAATACAGTACAAATGCTTAGTTCGCGTGGTACGTGCGCCAACAGTTCGCGGAGTTCCGCAAACTTGAGCTCAATTTACTATTTTCGCTTTGTAGGTTATAGTCGTGTCAAATTATCTCGCGCGAAACCTCGAAAATCGTAGAACAATGCCTTTGGAGTGCAATAATGATAGTCACACTTGCAATATTATCTGTGGCGATGTTTCGTATATGATTAAGTCTTAATTTATTTAATTAACAAATTTTGTTTATCGTAAATTTTGTTGTCACAAGAAACGAAAGCAAACATTACGTCGCTGCAATATGGTCGCTTATTTTTTGGAGAACTAAGTAAACATTTCGAATTCCTCGTCGTTGAGCTATTGACCGCTAGATGGCAGCACATTGATTTACATTTTAAAATAAAATCAACGTCACAGAAGGACTGATATTGATCAGATCAGTGATGTCCTCAAAAAGGCGGGGATTCGAAGTGACAAGAATAAAAGAAGCTGTATGAAAAGGGTAGTTGATGTATGGGATGCTCGAGAGATGTGTCAGGATAGAACAAAGTGGCGTTCCGTGGTCTCTGCCTACCCCTCCTATGGGACTAGGGCGTGAGCTTCTGTATGTAAAATCAAAACGTCGTAACTTATAATAATAGATTATTGATGCTATTGAACTTTCAACGAGTACCTGTAGAAAAACATTTACAATATTATTTTTAGAGACAATAATTTATAGCAAATACTTAATAAGAAATAATATTGTCGCCAATGTAATCAATTTTCAATAAATAATATGAAGATCCAAATATAACTAACTCCGAGAATTCCCGAGATTTGTAGAAGGAAATTTCTACATTATTCTTTAGTTCAGCTAAATTAACTCCCTCAATTCCAATCACAACATCACGCTCGTCTGGCCTGATCATTATGCTTAATGCAATACTGCGCGTGCGTCATTCAGCAGCGTTATTTTAACGACTCTGTAGGCTGTATTTACATTGCCATTTGCTTGTTGCAGATCTTTGTTTTCGGTTTTTAACGATTTTTACCGTAGCGCCATCTGTGTGAAATCTATGAAAGTTTTTCCCCGAGCAGACGTTAGCGTGTAAACTCAGCATAAGCGAACTAAAGTTTCGTCTATAATTTTAACAATATTTGTCATCAGAATTAATCCACAATATTGGTTCAAGATTGCAGGTATGTAGTGTAATGTAACCAATTTTTTAGCATTGAACATCACCTAAGAAGATTCAAATAACTTAAATAGTACAATTAAATAATATAAAATTAATTAACACTTCGGATAATGTTTATAGATACGACATCATTTTGCAATGTAACAATTAACAAGGCACATAAATTGAGCCCGTTCTTTTTTCAAATTTAAATGCCAGAGAGTAAATATTTTTTAAGTATTTTACTGTTCCATTCATTCAATGGCATTTTGTTATAAAATATCTTTGCTAGCCCATTTTAAGTGGAGGCAGAAAAGTAATATTTAAAGCTCATCTTTGAGAACACAATGTATGGTAATACAGAAAAAAGCTGATGAAGCGTTAAATGGACAATAAGAACCTTTAAGATATTCCGCGTTGCCTGAAATTGACTCAGTTTGAGAACATGGATATGGATAGTCAACATTTGTAATTTTAGTACTTCTTTTGACCGCTAGGAGCGCTGTACAATTTCCTATACAACTGTTTTTTTTATTATTATTAAGTGACAAACGTCATGTGTTTAATTGGTAAGCTACACGACTTCTTATAACAGTTGCAGTGACACAAAAGAGCTTTAAAACGCAAAGACCTGAAGGGCATTGTCACGGCGCTCGTTACCTTGAGTCAAAGTTAGCTATTCCCAAATTCCTGTAAGGTCACCAGCACCTTCAACCCTTCAAATTATATTCCATGCGGCTGCTGCTACTACAACAACATTGTACTTAAGGTAGAAGTTCTGAAGTTTCAGATTCATGTTTATATCCATAGTTTGTCATTTTCAAATAATATGTAATAATGTTGTCACATTATTACATTATTATTATATGTCTGTCGACAGCCATATCAATATCTTTGTCTTAAACAGACAATTCCCTGTACTGTGTACCAGAAAAAATAAATTCACTCAGGGCCTTATTTCCCCAATTGGTCCTTCCTGGGATCTGGGACCTCTTCAGCCAGCGCCCACACAGCAAAAATCGTCATTATATTTTCAATGATTAAATATTAGTTATTAACACTAATTATTTGTAAAATTTTAACGCAAACTGTACTTACTTCGAGCACGAGGCTATTATGTACTCATTAAATTTGAAAAAAAAAAAAAAAAATATTTGTAGGTTTTGGTTTAATAAAATTTTTGTTATAAAAAAAATTGTAGGGATTCTTTAGTGCATTGATTTTAAACTTGCCTAATATTAAGATGAGGCGGGTACATCATGTACTCAAACTGAGGCAATTTGAGTTTGCCTGAAACATTATTTTGCTGCCTGAACTTAAAGTCCGTGACTTTAAAATCCCAAAACTGTGACGTTATATGCAAAAAAGAACAACCACGACAACTCGATTAGCCTTCATTCCGCGTTACAGAACCAATACTTAAGTACCATTTCTGATCAATTTAGAGTAGAATTTCAGCAATCGAAAATTTTAATTCAAGTCTGTACATAAATCGAGAACCGTATTGAGATTCAAGCACGAATCCGTTCTGTAAAATTGAACACAATGAAAACGGTACCTTTTCTTATATACCGCCACATATCATTGCCTGGCAAATAAAAAACATTAATCGTATCCACACGTCATTACTATGCCCTTACTTTTGTTATTCGAAAAATTCGACTGCTTTCGAAATTTTACTTTAGGCAATTTCTGCAAAAGAGACATGTCTGCGCATGTTGTTTAAGTCAATGCCACACGACATGACTATTTTGTAGAAAATTACATTTTTATTAATCAATGGGGTTGCTATAACTCATCGAATATATAATCAGAAATAGAGACGAAATGTCATTTAATTTCTTTGAAAACTATTCTGCCAAATCGTTACGGTGACAACTGCGCTCCGATTGGCCAGCCCGAATTCGAAACAATAGATGGGTGTCGTCAATTGTTTCACTTCAAATCGACCAGTTTAACTTGAGCTTTGCTATAATGGACGAAAATTGAAAAACCACATATTTAATTAACTATTCCCACACCACCGAATGGACCAGCCTCCCATTGTTAGAGATATAATCTTTATTACAATAAATATAGAATATTTTTCGTATGTACGGAAACGTACACATAGGTCAGTTGTTGGCGTTGTACTATTTCAGCTTTCTAATTTGTGATTTCAGCGCAAACGAGAGTTGATATTTAAAAGTGATATAAAGCCCATTTACCTGATGAGTTGCCAGGGCTGGATGGCCATTATTTCGTCTCTATTTCTGGTTATATACTCGATGCTATAACTTTATAGATGATGGACACTGCCCTTCTTATCTATATATATATATACATAACCAACGTAATCAGCATTTCTAGCGTAATTGAGTCATTAACACATCGGGGATCAGCGAAATAAGATCTTAAACCCCCTCTAATCGGTTTTATTATAACTTATTTAATTTCAGTTTTATTGTTAAGCAAAATTGATATTTATTTAGATGACAATAAAACTTTAGGTGCCAATCACGATGATAACTAAAATGCAAATGCGTTAGTCATGACAAGGAGGGAAGAATAAGAATCCTGTTTAGAAAACCGTCACGATGACAGGGGAAGGCGACAAATCTAGCGAAAAGACCATTAAAAAAAGCGACTATATCGACGCTGGCAAGGTAAAATGTCTAACGTGTATTTGGAAATTATTACAAGATAGCGATTTAGAGTAATTTTTTTTAAGAAAAAATATAACTATAATTTTATTTGCTATATGGAAAAGCTGAAACATTCTATAATTATTAACAAATCGAATACTTAGAAAAAATTGCTTCGATCTGGCCGGATTCGAACGGACGTCTTCTAGCAAACCGTGCTAAACGCTAAGCCACGGAACGAATCAGCGCACTTTATGAATTTTTTCAATGTGCTTGTTGCAAATCTTGGTTTTTTGGTTTTTAACGACTTTTTATGCCGTAGCGCCATCTGTGAGAAATGTACTTCTTCACTCAGAGAAGTACCTTTATAGCTACCATCGGCGGCTAGCTGAAACTTTCTAGTTTTCCTTATAACAAATAAAATTAGAGTTATGATTTTAAATCGTTCTCCTGTAATATTCGTCAAATGCACATTAGATGTTTTAAAGTAGCAACCCTATGCTGGTAGAATAAGGGAGCGTTCAAATTAGCCGCTGTTAGACGCGCTGCAGCAGTGCAGCCGCGTGACTATCACTTTTCATACAATTTCTAGAAGCGCTGCAATCACGCGAGAGTCGTGCTGCAGTCACGCGCGGTTGCAGTCACGATTAGTGAGGTGTACATATTAATTTTTTAAATTAACCATGATGAATGAAAATTGAAGAATTTATAGAGAATGTAAAACAACACTTTGCAATATGGGATAGCCGTTTCGCCGGTTATTCCAATCGACTAGATAAAAAACGGGATGGGGAATTTTTTTTAAACAAATGCGCAATTATAATGTCACGATGGTTTACCATCATGATATTCAATTATTTTTTATGAAATTACTCCACTAGTTTGTAATAGTTATTAAACATCGAAGTTGCTTAGTTGGCATAGCGTCTGGCACGGTTCGCTGGCAGACGTTGGTTCGAACCGGATCGAACTGAATTTTCACTGTATTCGCGCTTTGTTTAATAATTACTTTACTCAATTACCAAAGCATTTACGTTAAAGCGTCTTATTCACGATCAGGCGTAACTGCGTGCGCGCAATTTACACTAGATTTGTCCCTCGCTGAAAACTTACGAATTAACAGTGTCATCATTGTGTTATAGGTACCCCACTCTCAACATCGCTCTTTATGAACCACTCGTTACATTATCATAAGAACCTTCATCAGTCTTCTTTCTTGTCGGCATCGGACTTCGCCGCTTCGGGCGAGGAGGGGCGATCAGATTCAATTTCGGAACCTGGAATATAAAGAAATAGAAGTAATGTCATAATTGGACATAGTTATGCAAACTAGAACCAACCCACAAAATGTCACTTTCGAGATAATTAGACTTTTGTAAAAACAGTGTGAAGAAGTAAGTAGGTAAGTTATTTGAGACAAACAACGTTTAGTTATGAGTAGCATTAAGAATGATATAGGGAAACTATTATATTATATAGCAATAAATAGAAAACATTATGTATCTTTTTATTTAGTTAACGAGAACCATGTTCTAGTTTTCGTAATGAAAACGCTAAAGATCGACAGTACTTCAGTACATGTGACATGGATCCATTTAGCATATTTAAAAAAATACATTATATGAAGTTAAGCAGCATGGTTCTTTTTAGCTATTAAAAAGTTACTTATTTAGGGTTGGTACCCTGAAGGACTTTTATTTTCTCCGTTTTGACTTGGTATATTGCCAGGATCTTTTGTGAGCGGGTAAAGGACACGTCTGGTGTTCTGCCTAAATACATAACTCAATTTCACTCGAGGCGTGGGTTGGTTCTTGATTGCATAACTATGTCCAATTTAGGGACCGCTGAATGGGCTATATTTTGGTGTTTCTACTCGACGCATGTAACGTCCTCGAGTATTCACAATACCATCATGAAGTAATTGAATGACTTTAAAAAAGGAGGTGGTTTTTAAATTCGACAGTATTTTTTTGTATGTATGTTACGTGATAACTGACTTTGATGATTATTTTTTTGTTGGAAAGAGGGTACCTCAGTATTGGTCCCATTTAAATTTTAAGAAAATATTCTACCTCTAAGAGTGACAAACTAGGGGATGAATCCGGTTTCGCGCACATTCCGGTAACCGATGTTAATAAATATTACTACATACTAATATTACTACTAACAATTAGATGTAAAAAGTCTTATAAAATTTATAATAAATTTTTTTTACAGAAATTGGTCCTCGGTGCATAATTTGGGCCAAAACTGAATATCTCATTTAATATGTTTTCTTTTACTATAATTTGTTGTATGAAGAAAAATGTTTACGATCTCTGCTTTATAACCGACTCTCCGCTAGGAGGAGGTTCTTAATTTCACTGCATTCACTCAAGTGTTTCCTAATAAGGGGAAAGTAAGAATTATATCTGTACAAATTAAATTGTCATGATTCATACCAGCCCCCCACGAGATGCCCTTTTTCTCTTCACCTTCGCTGTCGCTGCCGGAACTCTGTGATACTGAATCATTACCCGGTGTGCCTGCAACAAATTGGTACGTTTTTGCATGCAATTTCACACTAATATAACCGTCCAGGGTTTACTACGCAACTACGCGATTATTTGTAGAAGTTAAAATCATGCCATGATCAACTACTTGGTGTTAAAATAGGGTACACAAAAAAACTCGCTCAATTAAAAATAAAAATTGTATTTTTAGAGCGTTTGAGTACTACCTCGGATTCGTATCAGTTTCGAATTTGAGAAATGACGGTCCGAAATGTCACAGGGAAATTTTATCCCTATACTCTAGCCAAATTCGATGTAGAATAAATGTCAACAAACAAATACATGTGATTTTTAGGGTTTTCATCTCAGACTCTTTCACAGTTACAATAATTTCAATATTTTCCTAAGAAATTGAACTAGATTATGGATAATACTAAAATCTTGAAGCCATGTTTATAATGAATATTATTCAACAGAAGTTTCAAATCACCCAAAAATGACATAAAATGATCAGTAATTAATTATTTGTAAAACTGTGTCATCCCTAGCCACTTTTTGGTTTGAAGGGAGAGATTGCAAACATTCGAGTTCTGGTGGTATTCAAGGTGAAAATCAGAAATAGATGCTGGATGATATCATATATAGGAATTTAATATCAAATAAAATCTTACAATTTTGTATCTTTTCATCTACTATTACCTACTATCTAGCAGTAAATATTAATAGGATGCAAAAACTTATATTTATTCCTAAATCATACGTATCAATAGGTATTTTGTAAACTTTATAATAATTGGCTAGGTAAGTATTACTTCCACATAACCCAATTACCTACTTACCTATTTAAATTCCAATTACGAGAGCAGGCCATGAGCACAGTAACCCTTAATAATGAATATTGAAAAAAAAATGTTCTGTCCCTATGCTATCCTTGGTTGCTTAGCAATGTTTTGTTATTAAATATTCTACATCGAATTTGGCTAGAGTATAGGTGTACAAGCGACGTTTGTATTTTCTCGGACCCCGATTCAGAACTCTTCGATATTTAACCGAATCGTTCGATTGGATATCGTTCTCGAATCGAAGGCAGCTTTCCGAGCTATTCGGAACATTCCGAATTAAACGTTCGATTAGGATACGACATCGTTATCCGACAGCGTTTACGGAGTTAGTCGGTGAAATGGATTATAAGAAAAATGAAAATCCTTTTATAAATATTTTTAACACTTTAAATATAGGATATGCATTAGTATTGCATTAAAATGAATTAATAAAATTGAACAAAATCCAAACTTAAAATAATAAGAGATTTCCATATTACATTCTTGCTTTGTAAACAATAGGACGTTCGGTAACTTTCATTCGACAACTGTGTTCTGAATAACGTTTGTAGTCTTTGCCGGTCGAGAAGGTCGAGAAGTCGTACGGGTGTGACGTCATTTCGGTTCAGTTTCGAATACGACAGTTTGACGTTCGATTCCGGTGTTGTGAATAAAAATAAAAAACAAATCGGTCAACAACTACCATCAGTTACTTAGTACCAGTTATTTATTAATATTATTGTTATGTTGTTATATCTGTTAATTGTTTAGTTTAAGTTTCTGTAATGGACGAAAAAATTTTTATTTTCATTTTTAAATATTATTCCATCGGCCTGCGCGTGATAGCATTTATATTTTGGCATTAATTAACGCGATCTACAAATACTGCGTAAAATTTATCTATAAGTTGGCACTTGGTTCCTCGTAAAAAATATAGATGTCTCTGTAAATCAGTCTGCTTTGCAACAGATTTTGTAAAACATTAATTTTATAAAATACATAATATCAGTTCATTTTTATGGTTTCATAATTCTTATTTGAATTTTAATTGACTGTTTGAAATAATACATCACAATTTGCCTATAACAATTACACAATTGCATTTTGAAAAGTTCCGTTTTCGTTCAACTTTTTATGGACTATTATGTTATGGTTTCTAAAATTAATGATAATTAGCTAAACTAGACGACTGCGAATCTTGTATAATTATTATACTAATTATAGTATTCACGAAGATTATCTTTACACCTTTGTAATGTATAACATTTTAAATTAATGTTCAACCAAGTGAGTCAAAAAATACTGTTCTGTGATTGGCTGATATTTTGGTAAATAAAATTGATGATTTTTGCTAAATTAAAACATTTACGAGGTTTATATAATAGTTACAATTCTTGAAATATGTTTTAACAACTTATTAGGTAAACGTTTTAATTATCTTCAGCACGGTACAAATGTAAACGACTACTGTTTTGTGATTGGCCAAAATAGTGTGTGTATGAGTAAATTTTCAAAGGAGGTTTTGAAGGGTATAAAAAGGAATGTAAGGCTGGGGTGGCGGATTATAAAAAGTGCCGAACCCTGAACCAGGAAAAGTTAAGTACCTTTTTTGTAACTAGTTTTACTGCTTTGCTACTGTGTAATTGTGTTGTGTAAATAGGACCAATGTCCCTGGGCTTTGGTATAGATTCAGTACCTAAACGTATGAAATCCGTTATAAATACTTATTGTTTTCACTTGTCCATTTTAATTAGTTTTCTTAGCACTTTGCTATAGTATTGTATTAACTAGCACCTTAAAACATGTCAGTGCTTGAAAGTAATCCTTGAGTTTTAGAAATAGTGCTATTAGTTTCATTTGTCTATCCTGTTATTTTTAAATCAC